TTTTTTCCCCCCTTTTTTGTTTTTTTTGGGTTTTGTTTTTCTTTTTTAATCATGTGCCACAGAACAGCTCTCCAGAGTGTGGTGTTAAATTTGTGTAGATTCACACTTCAAGGCACTTTATGTAACAAAGCTGGCAGCTGCAAATGGGTGAAGTTTAAAGGTGTCTTTCTTGTAAGCTCCAGAGATAGTTGTGTTCCCACTGATCCACTCTCCTCGCTCCCCGCCTCCCACGCTCCCAGTGCCCCGATGGCATTTGCTTTCCACCCCCAAAAAGCTGTGTGCCGGCTGCAGCTCTGACCACATTTCAGTCTGCTGCTGCAGAAGCTGCTTCTCGGGACTTGGGGCAGTTGGAGCCCAGCGATAACCTCACTTGGGTGCATGTAGGTCAGGAGTAACTCCAGGGATGCCAGCATTGTCCCAGGTGTCAAGCTGGTACAGAGGGGACGAGAATCGGGGGCTGAGTCTTGCGCCTGCATTGGTCTGAGAACGCCCCTGGGAGTTCAGCAGGTTGCATGGTGGTGGAAAGAGATGCAGCCTGTCTCCAGCTTGCTCCAGGCCTCGCAGGGAAGCAGCAACAGACCTGGGGCTTTGAGCCGCAGGCCTGTTCCACGCAGATGCTCAGCCCTTTGCATTCATCGGATGCAGCAGACTGCCTATCTGTCTTGCCAGCGGGAGGTTTTCCGCAGGTTGTCACCGCAGGTTGTTCAGGTCCCGGGACTCTGTTCCCCATAAAGGCTCTTGGGACTGTGACTGTGTCACGTTGGATCTTTAGAGCCACTTGCTCCGGGAGCAGTGTGGGCTTGGAAAGGGGCATTTTTCTGCCAGGGCGAATTGTGCTGGACTTCTCCAAGCTGGATTCCTGTCCCAGCGCCCGAGGTGCCATGGGACAAGAGGATTGTATTTCAGCGCAGACTGCCCAGAGCAAGGGAGAGCTTCGCAGCTGAGTTCACATTCCTTTAAAGCACCTGCTGGCTTTTCCTTTGCAGCCTAGGGGTACGTTTAGGCCTGGCATTTTTTTGACCTCACTGTACAGCCCCTTGTTAAAGGACATTGTGGTGAGAGGTTTCTTTTGCATCTGGAGGCAGCTTCCCCTTGCGGGAAACATGCGTGCCCAGAGCATCTGTTAGCTGCTCTCACTCGGGTACAGCCTGTGCCCACCAGATGTGGCTTCCTCCAAGGCACAGAAGCCCCGGACAACCTCCATAGTCCTCTCGTGCAACCACTCCTCATCCTGTGGCTCCCCCCGACTGCCAGCTAACACGTGGGATGAAGCTGTGCTTTCCATTTGGTGCCGTGCAGCTCAGCTAGCGAGCACCGAGAACCAGGGTTTGGTAGAGGGGAGTGAAGATGCCTCTGTTCAGACAGTTTTTTTTAGCCAGCAGATGTTAACCATCTCGTGGCCCAGTATAGATCTTGGTGTGAACCCTGGCTGTCGGCACCAGGGCTCTGGCTCCCTTGCCTGGGCGTAAAGCGGAGGGGAAGTTGGCTGGTGACCCTTTGGCTGCTTCACCGAGACGTGTTTAATGGCTGGATGTCTCCTAGGAGCACGGCTTTCTATAAGGGCTTTCACGTCCCGCGGTGCCACAGTATCTTAGTTATGCATGATGATTTCCCAGTAATTTGTCAGGACTCGTTGGTGAAACTTTTTAATTTTATTTGATTTTAACAGGGGACCCATTTGTTGCCCGTCTCCAGCTCCCATGCTCTCTCTCATTTATTTGGCACTAAGCTAGAAGCAATCGTGGTTTTCTGCCCCAGAGGGGCTGGCAAGACAGGAAGTAATTATTAGCCCTTGCTGGGATATGATATAACGGAGCGCCAGAGACAACTGCGCAGCACTATTGACTTCAAGATGCTGAAGCTTCTTGTCATATTTCCCCTGCCCTCCCACTCCCTGCTCCGAAAATCCAGGGAATGGAAGCCGAAATATGAGGACCTCCCTCCCACCCTCTCCTCCTTCCAACCAGCAGAACTTGAATGGGCTAAATTTAAGGTCTGGTCTTTCCGGGAAGCCATCTCAGCAGGACAAATAAATATTTTCTCAAACCAGTTCGAGCCAATGAGCCGCTTGAGAAAGTCGGCCCCCTTGTTCCCCTTGGACTTCAGGCTCTGCGAGGCTGGCTGTGCCAGCGCAGAGAGTACGGAGGCAGCCTCAGCGGCAGGGCTCGGGCTCGGAAAGGCAAACATGGCGAAGCAGCAGAAACGCGTCCTGACACCCCCTCTAACCCTCCCTCTCTCATTCTTATAGGTTCATGCAGCATCCCAAGAATTTTGGGCTGATCGCTTCATTTCTGGACAGGAAGGTAAGTCTGCACGCTTGGTATCCAAGTGACTTGTCTGTCTGCCGTTTTCCATGCTCCAGCACCTTCCCTTGCAAACACGTCCAGTTGCTCCAGAGCATCTTTCCTAAAGGACTCGGAGTCCATTTGTAACCTGTATACCTGTGGCCCAATGGGAAAGAAGCCAGGAGGGACAGGGGACAGGGAGAGTTAATTGTTAATGACAAAGCTGCTGTTAATTGGAAGAGTCATTACTGGCCCAGGCAAGCCCTTGTGTTTCTGAGAAGTGCTCTGGGACCACCGTGTATGTAGAGGGCATCCAAGGCCACTGCTTGCTATGGTCTTGTGCAGAAGACCCCACGCAACATGGTCTTGGATGGGGGTGGAAAGAAGAGGAGCTCCGTGAGCTCGAACGGGTTGGGGGCTCGGGTTCTTGGGACGTTTGCACTTTTCACGCCTGCTGCTTTGGGATCTCAGCCACCCCCTGCTCCATCTGCAGCAGTTGCTTTTCTTTGCGTAGGCATCTCCCTTCAGCTCGATGGTCACATCACAGAATGAAACAGAAATTGTCCTGGTTAGCACGTGCTACTGAAACAGGGTGATGAGTACATCTATCGAGGAGCTGCTCTGACTAACAATCCCCAGCCCTAGTAATTGGATGAATAGAAGAGGTGTTTTGAAACATCACCCCCAAATATAGCAGCTTGTTTGTCTCACCCCAGGGCAAGCCAGGCTATCCGCTCAGCAGCGGGGCAGCCCTGTAGACACCCACCCTAAGGCACAGGGCCCTAAGGAGGGGATGCTGCTGTAACGAGAGCAGCTACTTAGCATCACGGTTATCTGAATAGCAAACCCAGTTCTGACTGCAGGAGCCTCTTCAGTGGCTGTCAAGTAGATTTTCAGCTTAGTCTGAGCCAATTGACTCCAGCAGGAGAGACTGTTTGGGAATAACAGGCTGGAAAGCTCAGCCGTCTGTCCTAAGCAGCAGATGAATGTCAGGCCCATGGAAGAAGAGGCTTCTAGGAACCTGGTGAGCCACATGGCTTGTGAATCGCTACAGCCTTTCCAGTTCTTCCACAGCCGTGAAGCTGAGAGTACTGGGACTTGGATGGTACATGGCTGTACCATGGCTCCCTGTTTGTATAAAGCAAGCTGTCATTAGAGCGGTGAATGCATCCATTATCCTGTTGTGACGGCAGTCAGAGAGAGACGCAAAGTGTGGCTCCAGATAATGAATTAATAGATCTTTAAATGGTGTCTTAAATAACCTAATAGTATAGCATGATCTTAGCTCTTGGCACAGCTGACTGGAGTGTGTGCGTGCATGATCAGGACTGAAGAAAAGAAGCCAATCCATGCTCCGAATCTGTTTTATAGACACTTCTGTCCTCCCATGAATGTCCCACCGCATCCCCCTCCTAGCTGCCGAACCCCCGACTCACAAGAAGCAGTTTACACCCCCTCGTTTCACTGCATTTAGTCACCAGCCCTTTCTGTCCAGGCTTTCACGCTATATCTGGAACAGCGAGGAAGTGCCAGAAAGCTAGAAAGTTGTAACCGTAACAAAGATTTTGGTGTCTCCTGTACCTTTTGATGTGGGTGTTTTAAGCTTTTTTCCACCCGCTTCTCTTCAGTTCCCTGTCCATGCCTGGGAGGTACTCCAGGGGAGGCATGCTGACAGGATGGGGTCCCAGCTTGCCATGTAGAAGTTTGCTGGCTGTTTTAGATGGAGTGGCTTGCTGCCAGGGCCTGGTCATGCATGCCCTGTGCATGTATTTAGACTTGACGTCCACATCTGCTCTTTCCCATGGCCGAGAGCTCCACCTGCATTTCAGGCCATGTTTGGCCCATGCTGAGGTCTGGAGGGAAAGCCTCTAGGGATACACGTGGGAGTTTCCTCTTGTGTAATCTCCCAACGAATGAAGGAAACCCAGCTGTGTCAGGGCACTTGCAAAGGTAGCGTACATGCAGCCACACACCATTCACATGGCAAGAACCTGGGTGTCCAAAAGGCCGGGCACTTAAAGTCTCATGTCTTATTCCAGACGGTGGCAGACTGCGTCCTCTATTACTACCTGACAAAGAAGAATGAGAACTACAAGAATCTCGTGAGAAGAAATTACCGGCGGCGGGGGAAAAACCAGGTAAGAGAAGGGAAGCGGCGCACGAGGCTGTTTGTTCCTTCTGACCAAGGAACAGCAGGAATTAACATCCGCTATCCACAAGCCCCAGGTTAGGGTGATGCAGTGATATCACAATCTTCCCTGTCTTTCTGAGTGAGCTGCCTGCAGTGAGGCCTTCCCACTTGGATGCCAGTGGAGGAACCAAAAAGCTATTCTGGGTGTTGGGAAGGACCCTGCAGACTGAAGGCCCTTTTCGCACTGAATTGATGCAGTCCAGGTAGAAGACGCAGCCAACCAGACTCATGTGAAGCCAGCCAGTTTCATATCCCTGAGACTCCCAGCCCTCTTGGGTGAGGAGATTGGTTCAGTCTTCATGCAACATTTAGGAGCTTAGCCTCCCTGAGACCGCTGGCACCATGCTGATTACGGCAGTGGTTTTGTGGTGATATATGCTCAGACATGGCCACTTGTTTCTGGGGAGGCAAGCTGAGCCCTCCAGCTTCATTTTCACATGGACACCCAAGAAGAGCTTTTGGGTGGCAGCAGTTTACTTTTTGCTGTCAGCAGCATGTGGCCTGGCTTTGAACTGGTGATCAAGAAATCATGTAGAAGGCTGGGTTAGACGTTCGTGTTGCTGCCAAGCTTTTCAGGGCTGCCTAAAGGAGTCGACTGTCCGAAAGTTAGGCAGCATTGAGCATCTTGATCCACATTTTAGCCTAGTAGAAACATGCTGACAAATCCTGAACATCTGGGAACTTAGACTAATGGCAGGAGCAGTGAATGCAAAGGGAGGATCTCTCTAGATAACGTGGTGAGCGGGATGGAAAAACTGGTTAATGTTGCACTTTCTTGCTCCATAACATCACTGACCTAAGCAGTTCATGATGATCCATTGCCATAAAAAGAAACACTTGTGCACAGATTCCGATTGAGAGATGGATAGCTTTGCTCCCATTGATTTCTGCAGTGTTATGGCATCAAAATAGTTAGCACATGACGAATACCATGGACTGGACTCAATTTTCCCTTCTTTTTTTTTTCTCCTTTGAGAGGGAGCAGTTAGAGATGGAAAAGCCCTGTTAGATTATCCAGCCCATCTTCCTGCAAAAAGAGGGTGGTTCCCTCCAGTACATTTTTATAGTGTTTACCCTGGTCTGTTTTGTCAGATCACAGCAACTGGAACACGGGGCCGCATTTGTTTCTTGTTAGTAGAGGAGACATGCAGCTAATTCTGGTCCCAGTGCTGAGCCAAGCAAGTAACAAGCAGGGCGAGAGAAGGTTTATTTGCCATCCTCCTTGGCTTGGCGATGTTCCTTCTCGCTGCCCGTGTGGCTGTATTTACTGGACCTGGCATATTGTATTTACACAATGTGCCTAGTTCCCAGGGGTCCCACAGCACCTGTTCAGTGTTAATGAATGGGGCTATGCCTGATCAGGGGGAGGCACCTGTCTGGCATTTTGGAGTCTCATAAAGATGGGGCGTTTGGAATTGGAAGTGCTCCAAGACCTGCCCCAGCCTAGTAAAGTAAGTGGTGGGGATTTGTGAGGGTGGGCTAGTCAAGGTGCCAAGGCTGCAGATGTTTCACTGCATAGATGGTGGAGAAGACCTGGAATGCTATGGATTTAAAAGGAGAGAGGCCATTTCACAAGGGGAGGGAGATAGCGAAGCCGTTACGAAGTCTCTTGAGCGCAAAGAGTTCAAAAGCTGATTGTTACCTGCCGTCGGCATTGCTACACCAATTTACACCAGCTCATGTGGTCTGGCCCTGGGTTCCTGTATGTGGGTGCTTAGAACTTGCCAGTAGATCTGCGTCACTCCTTTGCTGCTGCTGGCTTTAGTGCACCACGTCAAGGCTGCGCCCGCTTCAATCCATCAGTAGGGGCCGGCCCTAAATCCAGACGTGATTCAACAGGTGAAGGTCAACAGACAGAGGAAAAGGGGAGTGGAAGCACAAGAGATACCATAGGAAAAGCAAGAGGTGGTGTGGTAAGACTTAGCTCCTTCAAGAGAGCCATGTGGGTGGATCCGTCTACCTGCATGAGTCTTCACAGCACCTGAGCTTGAGGCAGGTGTAACTCTTGAGTGTTGCACTGCAGTCATTTGTACCTGTTTCATGTGGGCCATAGTTCATCGGAGAGCTGGTCTGCAGGAGGAGTGGGCAAAGGGTTGGGTCGAAAGAGCATTGTAGCTTGTTAGGCCAGTTTGGAAAGGGTATGCCGTGTGCAGATGAGAACGTGAGCCAGGTTGGGCGGAGTAGAGACGTCCAGGGCAGTGCAGGAAGAGGCATCTAGGCAGGGCTGGGAGGGCAAGTTGTTTTGGGGTGTGATTTCCAAAGGCATCACCTGGAGTTAGTCATCTGCATCCCATTGAAATCCAGTGGGCGTCAGGCACGTGTTTCCTTCGCCTCTGTCGAGCCTTAAACTTGATGCCATGTGAAACCTTTGTGTGTGGGTTGTCCCAGGAAAACAACATGGGACCGTGCTGCAAGCAGTGGTCTGATCAGGTGAGGTGTACAGGGACACCATCTCTCTCTTAGGAGCCATGGTTAGAGAGAGGGGAGAAGAGGGCTTCAAAGTGACTTGTTTGTAACTTGGGGCATCTCTTCAGCCTTTGCTATAATCACTGCAGTTGAAGTGCTGGCTTTGCCATTCAGGAGGAGGAATAGTAAAGACTTCACATGCCAGGAGCAGAGGCTTAATAGATTGTTTTTAAAGAACCGTATTTCTTGCCCGTCAGAGCGTGCAGCCAAACTCTTGACGGGAGTGAGGTAGTGATGCTGTTGCAAAGTCCCGATAGCACGGGGAGTTCAAAAGCTGGTGGTGCTTTCGTGTATTGTCCTGTACTGGAAAAGTTGGTCTCCCTTGCTTTTAATGGGTGCTGCAGGGTTAAGGGAGGCTTGGCGATAAGTATGCATGGAAACGAGTTGCTCAAGACTGTCATTGTGGCCTACTTATTAAAATGATAATAAAAAAAAAAAAAGAAATCCCATAGCAGCTTGGCTGATTGTCCCCTGGCAAAGGAGACTTCTCATAAAGCTGCTACTTATTGCTGTGCATCTCCTGCCAAGATCAGGAGCTTCGTGTGATCGAGTTTCTGTGCATGTCATAATAGCCAGGGCCCAGCTTTCTAATTTCAGAGCAGGTTCTCACCAAACAGTTCCTTTTTTCTAAATTGAATGAACGAAAGGTGGGCAGATTTGCTGTATTGTCGTGTGTGCACTCACACCCCCACCGGCTTTCCTGACACGCCGATGCCCTTTGCAAAATAATTCGGGTCAGAAACCACACTGCAGCACACAGCCACCTGCATCCTCGTGAGGATAATTTGTAACCTTGAAAGTCCAGTCTTAGCATCCTAGCACTGGAGAGCAAGCAAGCAGAAACTTAATTACATGCTCACCATTTGCCACCTTTCCAGACACAGAAGCTTCCAATTTAGCTTCTGTACTGTGCTCCAACTTAAAAAAAAAAAAAATAGATGTAACATACAGTGCCTTTTCCAAAGCAGAAACGGTCAAGCTTGGCTGAAGTTTTACATGCTGTTATGAACATACCTACACCAGAAACACACAGGTGGTCTCCCTGGGTGGGATCGGGATGCATATGCTTTCCAGGCCTTGTGAGGAGTGTGTGGCAGGAATGACTACTCCACATACAGTTAAGCGAATTTGAGCCTGGACAGGCATTGCATCAGGCCGTGTCTGCGCAGGAAAATTATCCAGCCTGACTGTAGTGGAATAACTTGAGCTGTAGCTATTCTGGGAGAAAAGTGACTTTGTTTTGGAATTATTGCTCCAGACGGAGCATTTCTTCCCCAGTAACGTTGCTCCGCTTCTGGACGGAGTGCCCACACGGGGGAGTTATCTAGCTCAGTTGCCGTTCCTCAGATCTGCTTATAGGTTTCCCCTTGTGGAGGAGCCTGAAGTCAGAAGCATCCCTCTGAAATGCACAGCTGCAAAGCAGGCGCAAGTGACTCTGCCGCTTCACGCCGGACAGAGTCACGGATTGACTCAGCTGCTGAGTGAGCCTGGGGAAGGTGAGCCCCTGGCATTGATCCTCGCCGCACTGTGAGATGGAGGGGGAGGCACTGCCGAGCGAAGCTGTTAGGCCTGTGGTCAGCTTCACTGATCAGAGACTAGATAAACCAACTGCCGATGGCTGGGATGATTCAGAGGTGAATGAAGTAATCTGACTAAGTACGAAAGCCCACGCGCTCCGTCCCTGGCAGGCCCACAGGATGTGCTGTCATGACTATCCCCCTCGGCGCTGCTGTCAGACGGCTCTCAGATATTCCACAGCAAAAGAGCTGCCTGCTCATTAGCTCTGACGCTTTCGAGGATTCGTCCTTCTCTCGAATGATGGAAAAGTGAGTGGCCCACCCCTCTTCCAGAGGGGAGTGGGGGGGTCTTTTCCCAAGGCTAGTAGTGTTGGAGCTGGCATGGGCTGGCAGAGAAAGCTGGAAACCTGGCAAAGTCTTCCAGGGATGTTCTTTGCCTGCTGGAGGACCATGTTTCCAGACCCACCCTGCCCCCTTGCCAGAACCAAAATCCAGTTATTGGTACTGATAGCTGTCCCTGGCCTGCAGGAAAACTATTTCTTGTCCCCCATAGCCACTTAGCAGTAATGCAAATGGACAACATGAGGTCTGACTTTATCAGCAAGCCATTTATGTCTTTGCATACGCTGCCTCCAGCTTTCCAGCCACGGCTCTGTTAATACAGGTAGCAGAGCCTCGCCAGACCTACTACTGTATTGTCATATATGTGAGAGTGTGTGTATGTGTGTGTGTGTGTGTGTGTGTGTGTGTGTGTGTGTGTGTGTGTGTGTGTGTATATATACACACACACACACACA